AGAGTCGCCAGCTATGCCTTATCTCTGGGGTGTGGAGGAAGCACCTGAACCAGGTGTGCTGAGGCCAGGGCAGGGAGAAAGCCCAGGTGGGGAGGGGGCGGGGCCTGGAGCCTCCTATTGTTTGTTTGTTTACCGGCTCACAGGGAGGAGCCCACCTGGACTGCCTAATTATGCTTGAGAGCTGCTCACATCAAGGGATTAGTCCAACCGCAGAGCCTCACTCCCCAGCTAGAAGCTTCCAGGAGCCTGACCCCAGCGGAGGCTGGGTTTTATTCTCAGCAGCAATAACTGGCAACTCTTCAAGATGACAGGAGGTTTTTCACTAGAGCCACAAGGAAACTCCCAGATAGGGGGGAGGAGGGAGAGGAAGCCGGGTGTTCCAAGGAGATAAAGCATCCCCCGAGCTGGTCTGTCTGTCAGCTGGCTGAGCTCCACCGAGGTGAGGCCAAGGAGGTGGCCCTGGCAGCTAGCCAGAGGGGCAAGCTGAGCTCTCGCAGGTGGGCCACACAGCTGGGCCCGCCCCAGGTGATAAGTGGTAATTAGTCAGGACTGCATCCCCCAGAGGGGAGTGCCCCATATTTTTTCCATTTAGTCCCCTGAGTTTGGGCAGGCTGGTGATAGCAAAGGCCCTGTTCTGAAAAGACAAGAGTCAGAGTGGGGTTAAGAGCACAGACAGACCTAATTGGAAGGGAATAAGGAGCTTTGCAAACTACAGGAGCCGCATAGACCACCATTTACAGGATGGGGACAGCCGCGGAGGTTTGGCTCCCCCTCAGCCATTTCTCTCTGTGCCTCCTTTCCACCTCTTTAAAGGAAAGAGGGTAGTGGTGCTTAGTTGGCAGGCAAGAGCTTGGTCTGGTGCTTGGCCCTCAGTACCCTCACGATGGATGTGAAGGTGACGAATGGTGCTTTGGAAAGGAGCAGGATTCAGGTGTGTGAGATGGAATGAACTGAGGAGCACAGGTATGCACAGGTATGCTAGCTTTCCACCTCTGTGACAAATACCCGAGAAGTTCAACTTAGAGGAGGGAAATTTTATTGGGGCTCATGGTTTCAGAGGGTTTAGTCCAAGGTCAGCTGGTTCCATGGCTCTGGGTCCAACACAAAGGCAGAACATCATGGTGGAAGAGCATGGCAGGGGACAGCCACTCACTCCATGGCAACCAGGAAACAGAGGGGAAAGAAACAGGGTAAGGGACAATACCCTTCCAGGGCACACCTCCAGAGACCTACTTTCTCCAACTAGGGTTCACCACCTGCAGTTTCCCCACCTCCCAATAAGGCCTTCAAATAGTAATTCCTCAATGGATTCATCCACTGCTGGGTTGAAGCCCTCCTGACCCAATCACTTCCCAAGTCCCCACCTCTGAACAAGGATTGCTGCACTGGAGGTCAGTCCTTCAACACATGAGCCTTTAGGGGACAGTTCAGATGCAAACCTTTAACAACAGGACAGGCTAATGCAATTCTTCCCACCCCCCCTCTTCTTCTCTGTCTCCCACTCAGCCAGAGGCTGGTGCTGCAGCCCACATTTCAGGTGGCTCCCTCCTCTGCTTCCATGGCACTGCTAATCTGGAGCCTCCTGGGAGAGAAGACTGGCTCTTGTGCACAATTTTCTCAGGTCACCCCAATTTCAAATATTCTGCCCATTGTCCCCACAAATGTTAAAATGCCCCTGAATCCTAGCATCCTGGTGACCAAGCTGCATTTCCCAGGCTCCCTTTTGTACCCAGAAGCAGCACCAAAGCCCACCTGAGGTATCAGTTTTCCTTTCACACACAAATGAACTTTCCAGACAAAGACCACTGAATACTTACGCTTTTGGTTTTAACTATTTTAAGTGAAAATCTTTCTTAAAGATCATTTGCATACTTGCCCTCCTAAAGAGAGGATGCTACATTTCAGTTACTTCTGGATGACGTGGGCCGGTGTCCTTATATTGTGCTGTAAAGTTCTGTCGGTGATCAGGATCTGAAGAGGTGCCACAATCTGCTTTCCCTTCCCCAGATGGCCCCAGACCATTCTGCTCTTTGAGTCCCTGTTTTTAGGTTTTTAGTGTGGGCTTGTTTCCTTCTTCCTATCCACATGCTTGTCTCTAGCAGCCCTTCCTTCCTAACCAATATCCCTTCCCAATCTGTGGCTGACTGGTTATGTCAGTTAGCTATGGATAACTATCAAAGCACCCCAAAATATGGTGGCTTAAAACCTACAGTATTCTCCCCTTATCTACAAGGGGTTCATTCTAAGACCTCCAATGGATGCCTGAAACTGCAGCTAGTACTGCACTTTCTATACTATTTTTTCCTATGCATACATACCTGTAGTAAAGTTTAACTTGTAAATTAGGTGCAGTAAGAGATTTAAATAACCTATAATAAAACAAAACAATCCAAACAAAAGTTACATGAATGTGGTCTCTCTAAATAACTTTGGGTACTTTCACCTTTCACTTGAAGTACTTTATGGTTTCTTTTTGGCTTCTCTGAATTACTATCATCACTACTCTGGCACTTTGGGGTCATTATTAAGTAAAACAAGGACTGCAAGCATTGCAATGCCATGACAGTGGATCTGATAACCCAGATGGCTACTAAGTGACTAACAGGCAGGTAGCATATACAGCATAGATACGCTGGACAAAGACATGATTCATGTCCTGGGTAGAGCAGAAGAGCTCAAGATTTCATTATACTACTCCAACCAGCAAGCAATTTAAAACATGAATTATTCATTCCTAGAGTTTTCCATTTAATATTTCTAGGCTGCAATTGACTATGGATAACCAAAACTACAAAAAAGAAAAACCATCCATAAGGGAGGACTGCTGTATAGGCCCTTTTTTATATGTATTTTTTTTTTAGTTTTAGGTAGACACAGTATCTTTATTTTATATTTATATGGTGCTGAGGATTGAACCCAGTGCCTCATGCACGCTAGGTGAGCCCTCTACCTCTGAGCCACCATCCCAACCCTGTATAGGCCTTTTATATTACTCACATGTCCATGGGCCAGTTGGCTGCATGGGCTCAG